TTTTGTTATGTAATGGTATCTAAATCTGTTATCATCTCATGCAAATTTTCCTGTACCTGAATGCTGTCCTTAACGTGAAAAGCCTTTGAATTGAACAGGTTTTTTTTTATCTTTTGCCTTCCACATGGTTTCCATTAAGACATCATCAACTGCAGGCATAGAACAGACCAGGAAATGACTGTATCATAATGTATACCATCACTCTTTGCTGACTCAGCCTTAGAGGGCTAAATGCTGTTGTCCTCAATACTTATTTTCCCATTTAGTTTGATGTAAGGAATTACAATTACTGAAACATTAACATGAAGGGTATCCGTCACAGTATGTTCTTGGCAATCGTCTGTTTGATGTCTTGATATTTCTTTATGGGACAAGAAGATTGAATTCTATAAATTACAATCCTGACGTTTGGTGCAAAACATTTAATATTGGAAAGCAGGATTTGGCAGATATGGGGCTTGTTTCATATGAAACTGTCTCCATCTGTGAAGTGTTAGAGATGGATTAGTGTTACAGCACCAGAACAGTGCAGTATGTTAATTTTGTAGACAGGTCTTGTGATTGATGATGTGAGAAGTAGGGCTTCTCTCAGGGGAAGTGTAGCGAGGCTGGGACAGGGGACCTGCTGATAGTCATGCAAATTTTAACTTATTTAAAGATTCAAATATTCTTGAATTCCTCTTGTTTGCAAATCTAGTAAAATACTTCTAAGATGTATTTAGATTGGTCTGAAATGTTTTGGGCTTGATTTAAAAGAGCAGAGATTAAATGAGATATGGCTTGTAATCTTGCCTGGTAATTCTCCATGTGTTTAGATTATAATTTAATAAAAATTCTGCCAAGGAACCTGGGTTGGTCAGCTGCTCTTGGAGTTGAACAATTAACTTGACCCAAATCCAAGAAAGATTCAGGAGGGACAAGCAGAGATGCCAACCCTTACACTTTGGGCGTAATTATTACGATTTTGACCATTATATTACGCCATTACACTTAATTGGCGAAACTTACTCTTTTCTATTGTTTTAAGAAAGTCCATAAAGTGGAAAAAATTTCACAGGGAAGTGTTTCGTAACGCACCGGTACAGTGGTTCAGAAATTGTCTTACTCTTAGCATCGCGCTTATTCCAATTAACTTATAAGGAATTAAAGTATTTTGTGTCCCCTGACCAACAGTTTTTGATGTATGGAGCTTCATAATGATTGGTCACGTGTATTTCTGTCTAGAATATTTCCTATTCATGTGAATAACCTTCTTACAAGTAATTTTTATAAAGTTATCACCTTTCACTAAGTAGTTTTTTTTAAGTATTACACTTTTTAGGTCCAAATTACACTTTTTGACCTCAAGTATTACACTTAGGCCCAAAATAGGGTTGGCATCTCTGGACAAGTGACATTTCTTTGTGGGCTATCACTTAAACTTTCAGGTAGATAGCAACTAAGTAGTATAGGATTTATGTCATTTTGACCCTGATGATTAGTTGTGCCCTCCCTTAATTCACTGTAGCTGCCAAAGGTAAACCGAAATGTTTTACAAGTAATCTACACTGTACAAAGAATATCCCTGCCAGACACAGATATGTAGCCTTACTCCAGGGCATTCTGCTTGATGTAGCCATGGATTGTTAGTAAGTCCTTCCTGATAGAAGGAAGGAATGCCTAGATCAGCTGACAGGATGGAGGTATAATGACAACTTGTTTGTAAAAGTTATTGAATGTTGGAATTTGGTAATTTTAACTTAAGATAATTACTTTATAACACAGGGTTTTATGCAACTCGCAAATGAGCATCCAGTATGCACAAATGTAGAGAATGGATGCAGAAAAATTAATCACTATGTCCAGAGGGATGAACAATATAATTCATTGTACCCCATTGGTGGATCCAGATGGGGGTGCAGGGGGTTCGAACCCCGTCTTTTGAAAATGACTTAAGACCACATTGAAAGAATTTTTTTTGCGTTGTCGGAGTCAGGGGTGGTAAAAAAAAACCAACCCACCCCCTTAAAAATTCCTGGATCCACCCATGTACCCACAACACATCTATGACTTTGCTAAGTGTTTGGTTGTTTCTTCAGAGCAGTTACTTGCATCATTTCATCTAGAGATATTTTCAAAACATACAGTTCTCTACACTGTTCCCTACACTGTTCCTTCGCAGGACCCTCAGATGGCTCGCAATGACCGTTAAGACAAATAATTGGGGGTCCCCGGGACTCCCGTGTTTGTGAGTCAAGGTAAAACCCTGTAGACATGATGCAAGTCTAAGGCTGCAATCAGTGTTGTGTCTGGCGAGGTCCAACCAGACTGGCATGAATGAAGCAAGCTGGGGCATGTATGGCACGGCCTACACATGGCGCCACAGATGCCAGGATACCAGCTAATTCACAGACTCACTCCAATCTCAGACATGGAACCTGAGGAGCGTGTGTCACTTGTAACACAAACACAAGTGAAGTGAATAGGTCCGTTTTTTTCAGACTTAGTCAGGTTTTACTGTTTGTAGTTGGACTCTTCAGATATATAATATCTAGGATACCTAAAGAGGATTTGTTTGGGCCCTTTGGGATTACTTCTATGGAGGACGGTTTTTTCACCCTTGAAAGCTAGTTAATATATAGTGACTTTGATTTTTGTGCTTAATTTGAGCACTTGGTAAGATTTATTGTATATAAATCCCATTTGGGTACAATTGCAATATGGAACTAGCTGGGGAATACTGTGTTTAAGCTTGTTCCTTTATGGAACCACTGAGAATATCAGCTGTACTTTTAGCCAATACCAAATTATGAATTAAAATTAGTGAGAAATATACCAGTTATCAAAAACAATATTGTGGTATATCTAGTTTTAAAAGTGTGCAGTACACCCACCACTAATACCGTGCAGTCTTATTAATGAATGTTTGAATATTTTGAAATAACAGACTATGAATTCGATTTCATCACTTTATTGCTGCAATATTGTCAATATGATGTTAAATGTTGCTCATCCAATGTAATGCTAAAATAACCAGATCTGTGATCTTGATGAAGAACATGATTACGGATGTAATTTTACAAGGTCATTCCTTTAAACATCAGATCACTGCAGACATGCAGATGGGACAAGATTATGAAGGGGTTCTGGCGTTATCAATGAGAGAAGCATCTCTGGCGGTGTAATGAAATGACTCCTCAACCTACACACCAAGATGAACCGGTCTGCTCTGTGTTGTAGTGATGAGAAGGCATCATGCATGGCAGCCATTAATTTGGGGGGACGTTATCAGACAATCTGACATGTTGTATCAAGCCCTTGGCTTACTGTGTTAAGGACCTGATTCAGGTCCTATAATCTGCACTTGTGACCTACAAGCTTTGATGTCTCTGACTGTCAATCATATCACACATTAAGTTGACAAGAGTGACTAATATTTAGTGCTGCTTGCTTTAAAGATTTTTTGAAAAATATGTGACTTTTGTTAGTATTTAGTTTTGTATATATGAGCTAAATTATGTATCTATGTTTTGGGTTTGAATTTGAAATAGGTGCTGGTTGCATGAATTTCATGATTTAAGTTGAATGCTTAATTTTGATATTGAGGATTTTTTTATTTCGGTATTTTTCAGCAGACGATGCATCCCCAATAAAAGCATGGACCAATATATTCGCTTTATAGCTCACACTGGAAGATGGAGATTCTGTTTTTCAGCATTGATGCATCATTGGATGGACGTATATTCACGTATATACGTCTTTGATCATTGAAATCACTCAATTTACTTCCAAACTTGTGAATGCTGTGTCTGACCAGTGTGTTTGTTTTGCAGTTCTGAGCACAATATACTGGAAGATGCAGACAGCCTGCTGCTGAAGAGGGAACAGGGGGATGGACACGAGGACCCTGACAGTAATGTCATCGATGTCGGTTCAGAAGGTGATTAAGTGTGACCCGTGTTTTGAGAGAAAATTTAATACAAAACTGCCCAGATGGAAATGTAAGACAGATCTGCACTAATGTGCAACAAGTAACCCAGTCTTCGAAGGCATTGTAGTCTCTTTTGCAGAAGCTTTTGATTACCGGTTTTAATCCCAGTTTTGTAGGTTTGTTGGTACCATAGCCATGCTTGTATTTTTCAAATAGTTAATCTTTGAAGATCAGCGTCCCTTCAGGATTTCCTGACACAATAGCCTGACATCTGGAGAAATTATGGAAAGAGAAAGACTCACTCCTCACTCACTCACTCACTCACTCACTCACTCACTCACTCACTCACTCACTCACTCACTCACTCCTCACTCACTCACTCACTCACTCACTCACTCACTCCTCACTCCTCCTCCACTCACTCACTCCTCACTCACTCACTCACTCACTCACTCACTCACTCACTCACTCACTCACTCACTCACTCACTCACTCACTCACTCACTCACTCACTCACTCACTCACTCACTCACTCACTCACTCACTCACTCACTCACTCATGTACACACACAACACCAGGGGAACAATAGTAATAGCAAGACCCTATAGTACAGATAATGTTGTAACCTGACCTTCATTTAGCATTGGAATTTCAGAAAACCCAATCATGACAATATTTGCTGGATATGTATTTTCAGGGATTAATTTACAGTTTGTTTTGCCGTTGTAGGTCTACATCCTTGTAGCCTTGAACACATTTATTACAAGTTTTCCTTTGTTGTCCTCGCTGTATTAACTGAAACTGAAAGTATAAACAATTAATACTGTTCCTGCCTATAGAATTGCCCAGTGATCTAACGTGGCTTGATTCACAGTGTAGTTTGGCTGCTTTGGCTTTTATTGTTATTAGGTCTGATGATGATGATGATGATGATGTCTGCGCACTACTTGTGCTTGCAGGTTTTTCCGAAGAAGTAAATGTCATTGGTCTTCTGCACTTTTCATCTATGTGAAATTGACATCGTGTGACATGAGATTAATACTGCTGAATGTGTAAATTCACTCACTCACTCACCATGTGTTGCTGTAGGTGAGGCCTACACCGATGAAGCGGAGCAGGAGGTTGTGTACGTCGAGATGCCCGGCCTGTCTAGCACAGACGAAGACAGCAGCGAGGATGAAGTTGATTTCAAGATGGCCTCCAAAATTAAATTCAGCCGGGATCCCATCAGGGTGAGTGAAATGTGACCTCTGTTATATACATGAAATTCTTGTATCAATCTGGATGGTAGCATTCTGGATTGATAATTTATGATTACAGTGTAAGTTGACCATCAGTATTTACATAGGGGAAGGGGTTTTCAGGTTACGGTGTTCAGTGATTATCAAACATGTACGTCATGCTTACTGCAGTACACGTGAAGGTCTGGGTTAGAATTGTCTTCAGTAACCTATGCTTGTCAGAAGTGGTGACTATCGGGGATCGGGTGGTCAGACTTGTTTGATGCATGTCATTGTGTCCCAATTGCATAGAATGATGCTCATGATGTTGATCACAGGATTTTCTGGTCCAGACTTAGTTATTTACAGACTGCAGCCATATAGCTGGAATATTGCTGAGTGCAGCATTAAACAACAAACAAACCAGGCTTACTGCATGTTCTTACATTACAGTATTGTTGAATTTACTTATCCATGAAGATCTGGATTAGAATTGGTCTTTGGCAACTCATGCTTGTCCGGACTGCTGCTATATAGCTGGAATATTGCTGAGTGCTGCACGAAACAACAAATAGAAAAGAGAACACCTTTCTCGCAGGAGATTTAATTACGAAATTAACATCAAATCTTTTGTGACAATTGTTACTTTTCTTTTGGCAAAGTGAGTGAGTGAGTGAGTTAATATTTAAAGTCACATCGGCAATATTTCAGCCATATCGTGACTACTTTTGGCAAAGTAATCAAGGCACAATTTGTACAGTAGTCGGGCGTTTCATCCTGCACATGATATCAAGCATTTAGTCTTGTTCCATACATTAGTCTGGATGATAGATATGAGCGAAATTCCGTGTTAGGAAAGGAAGAAAAATCAATTTTCATTGGTAATAAAGATTTTTGGGATTTTAATTTCATCTGGATCATCCAAGGGGGACAATTACCTGAATTAGTTGTGGGTTGGTATTACAGTTACATGGAAGTTTCGGAGATACTATCTCCCTACAGACTCATAGACACTTCTTAGCTGAACATCTAAAACCAGAGGTGAATGAGACTAGCAGGTCTGACCTATGTACTTGGTGGTTGCAGGTGTTCTTCACATACTCCACGGACGACTATGACCGCCGCAATGAAGACGTCGACCCAGTGGCGGCGTCAGCGGGAGTATGAGCTGGAGAAGAGGGTGGAGAAGATGGATGTCTTCCCAGTAGAACTTCAGAAAGGTATACCAGCCTCTTTCTTTTATTGTGTTTTATCAATGTGACAGAAATGTATTTTACAATTTTTAATTCATAATGTAGCTGTGAATGTAAATGGCAAACTAAGTGCAATGTGTAGACAAATTCCGACTTTGGCACAGGTCCTGATAAATCACTGTGACTTAGCACAAAGAATAACACAGTTACATGGCATTTTGAATGAACTTAAGAGTACAGCATGGCAGAGTTACATCCCTTAGTTTGCCAGGAACCTATTTCGCAGGTATGTTAGCGCCATACCCCTGCTTGTAGATTTTCATCTGACTTAAAGCTTCATCTCACGTTATTTAGACTCTACTGTAATTATGACATTACTGTAAAGACATAATTATGGGATGACAGTTTCGTTATGACATTACTGTAAAGACATAAAAGTGATGACAATTTAGTTGTGACATTACTGTAGAGACATAAAAGTGATGACAGTTTAGTTGTGACATTACTGTAAAGACCTCAAAGTGATGCCAGTTTAGTTGCGACAAAGTGATGACAGTTTAGTTGTGACGTTAGTGTAAAGCCCTCAAAGTGATGACAGTTTAGTGATGCCAACACAATAACAACTCAGTGATGATAATATTGTGAACATATTACAGTGATGACAGGACAGTGATGACAATACAGTGATGTGGTACAGTGATGACAGGACACTGATGACAATACAGTGATGTGGTACACTTATGACAGTATGGTGATGACATTACAGTGATGACACTATGATGACATTACAGCGATGACATTATGATGACAGGACAGTGATGTAATCATTGATGACAGTATGGTGATGACATTATGATGACAATACAATGATGTGGTATATTGATTGTATGGTGATGACATTACAGCAATGACATTATGATGACAGGACGGTGATGACTTTACAATGACAGGACAGTGATGTAATACATTGATGACAGTACAGTTTTCACAGAACAATGACAACAGTATAGTGATTTTAGTACATTGATTGCAGTACAGTGTTATTTATCACATCCTGGTGCTTCTCCAACCCCACTTTCTTTAATATCCCTTATCTTACAATTCCCCATCCAAAGCATGTAATCTTGTTTATGGTTATGACATGAAGTACAATGTTTGAAGTCTGTAATATGAACTAGTTTGAAGCACACTGGAACCTGTTCAAAACATCATATTGCACATTAATGATATAACTCAATATATGCCCCATGTGCAGGTTCTGAGGGACTGGGTCTCAGTATTATCGGTATGGGCGTCGGCGCTGATGCTGGCCTGGAGAAACTTGGCATCTTCATTAAGACCCTGACTGAAGGCGGCGCCGCTCAGAAAGACTCCAGGTAGGTGATATAGTGTCTGGCTCCAGCATCTGTTGTGGGCTGCTGTAACATTATGGCTCCTGGAATGTGTATTGTTGGCTATGCTTTTCATTTCCTGGGGTGGAGCAGTGGGGTAGCCTAGTGGTTAAACCGTTCACGCGCCATGCCGAAGACCTGGTTCGATTCCCCTCATTGTTACAATGTGTGAAGCCCATTTCTGGTGTCCCCACTGTGATATTGCTAAAATATTGCTAAAAAGCGCGTAAAACTAAACTCACTCTCTCACTCTTTTCCTCATGTTAATAAGATCAAGCATTGTTGCCATTTAAATTATATCTTTTTATAATATCCCCTGTGGTTCTGAAAGGTCTTGAACAGTCGAAGCATCTTTGTAGATAGAGGTCAGACTTAATTATTTTGTTGTGGTTGATGGTTGAAGTGGTTATAATATCAATCACAGGATTTAGAACTGGAATCATTGAAAATATTGTGGAATGAAGCTTTGTTAGTGACCCGAAATAGAACAAGGACTTCTGTTGTGAAAAAAGAAACAAGATGTCAATCTCAAATTACTCTATTCTATTACAATGGTATGTCTAACAAATGGATACAGCTGTCTTGTGTTCAACTCACGTTCTTCGGTTAGTCTGCCTCAAATGTATTAAAGAAGTCCTTATGTGCTGTAGTTCGTAATAAAGATATGAAACTGTTCAGAAACAGTAGGTCATTTGTCAGATGTGTTTCTCAATCCACAAACGGACCTACAAAGGATATTAGTATCAACACCTTAAACTCAGAAATATAAATAGAAAATCTTAATTTCAAGTACACTAGCAAGAGTCAATGAAAGTTGAACACCAAGGCTTGCTGGGGAGTTGAAAAAACCTTTCATTAACAAACATTGATATTTTAAATAAAAAAGATTATGATGAGTTTCTATTTGTCATCCAGATTCATCCTTCCTATGTTTGTAGTTTGTAAACAGTATACTATTCTGTGTAAATATTGCAGCTAACCAGCTTCTGTAGTATAAACCTAGTGTTTCCGTTTGATTGTGACTTTGAGGCAATTTCATTGTGAGTGAGTGAGTGAATTTAGTTTTACGCCACACTCAGTAATATTCCAGCTATATGGCGGCGGTCTGTAAATAATCTAGTCTGGACCAGACAATCCAGTGATCAACAGCACGAGCATCGATCTACGCAATTGGGAACCAATGACATGTGTCAACCAAGCCAGGGAGCCTGACCACCCGATCCCGTTAGTCGCCTCTTAGGACAAGCATGGGTTACTGAAGGCTCATTCTAACCCGGACCTTCGCAGGTGCAATTGTAGCGAATTATCCTTAGAGATTATTAATAACTTGACCACACATAGCAATATCTGCCAGGTCAGTTTTATATGAAACAATTGTATATCTCGTAAAATATATCGATCAGTATTTAGTCCCCAAAATAAAGTTATCCTGTATAAAAATGTATATCAACGAAAGAAAAAAGATATAACTAAAGTGGCACCAAGAACATTGCTTGAATTTACAAGACCTGAGGGAATGTAGACATACTAGATCTTTTTGATCTGAGTTGGACTGCTTTTTATATATTTCTTGACTAGCAATAAGGGTTTCAGTGGGATTTCTTGTTGAAACACTGCCCTGAGTGACCTGCTGACCAGCTGGTCAGCATTCCTCACATGTATTCCACTTATCCTGGAGTTGGTAGAACTGCATTGTATTAGCTTCAATTGGATGCTTTGAAGGCAGGTTATCTGAAAGTGTAATTGACCGTGCATTCTTTTGATCACGGTTCACATTTCACATCTCAAAGGTATAATAAAACTATTTGGTTTCTCTTTACACTGCACGGGGAAGTCCTTGTTCATGCAAAGACATTAGAGTTTTAATCTGCATTCTGATCATTTTCTATTGGAATTTCCAGGTCTAATGAATTTGAAATAGAATGTGAAGTTTCATGTGTATTTTAGTACGATAAAACATCTCCCATGATTCTCACTGTTGAGGGTCACATGATAAGGGACACACAAAATGGCTGCCATTCTTTAGCAGACGTAGAAGACACATCACAACCCGTCTGCACACCAGATGATTCCTATTCTCTGTCAGTGACCAGCTATTATACTGAGGATGTAAATTTTGTGTTCACATTAATTAGTCACCCTGATATTTTCAGTGATGAGTTTGACAGTAAACTTTTTGCCCTTTATTGTCTCCTTTGTCATGTGATCTCTAAAGGCGGTCGAAAATTCAGTATTGATATCAGTTTCCAATATATTTTGTTTTTGTTTGAATCAAAATACTATGATTGTACAAATGGTATGAAAAACCCCATCCGTGTTTGAATGAAAATGTTGTTTTTTAAATAAAACAGTTATTGGTTTTGTAATCTATTTCAAGATTACTGTTAGGAAATAGGCCTCAAAGTAATGATGATATTTTTTGTTCTAAGTATATGATGACTCGGTGAAGATTGAAAAATACATATCCAATCATAGGAATAATGTTTATGACTTTCTTCAGAAGCTAAATAATGATAGAAGCCGAATGCCTTAACACAACACACAGGGTCAGTGTCACGCTATTCACAGAAGCTGTGATGTAACAACACACATATGTTGTTTGACTGGCTTGTTTACTCTCTGTGGGGTATAAGGAGTATAAAATAGATAATTATTTCAGTTGTGACGCTCATCATTGTTTAGCTGTATTATCTATTGTGGTTTGATAAATTTAGCAACACCAGGAAATGAAACAAGGAAGTTTAGGCAGTCATCTGTTGGATGGATGGATCCAAACTGTTCGGGAAGTTGAAGTTTGTTTGTTTTGTTGGGTTTTTGGGGTTGTTTTTTTTTGGATGGGGGGTGGGGGATGGTAAGGTAGAACATGCAGCATTTCACTGATATACTATCTAGACTTGTTGTATATGCAAGATTATATTCTTAATTTTTTGCTCAATTTCAATAAGGACGTTTGACACAAGGCAAGCCTGAAGGATCTGTTAGCTTAGCTTGGAGCAGCTCAGTATATGTCGGGTAACTGGAGGAGAGTTTAAATATTTTCCTCAAAATGTTTTGTTTTAGCATATGCATTTGATTTTCAGAATTCAAGTGAACGATCAAATCATCGAGGTTGATGGCAAGAGTCTTGTTGGGGTCACCCAGGCATATGCGGCAAATGTTCTTCGGAATACTCAAGGAACTGTCAAGTGAGTGCAGCTGCAAGCAGAGATATATAAACCAGCATGACCTAGAGTCACTTTGTGCAATAATTAATTGTGTAGTCAGCCGTAGACTGGGTGAGCTAAATCCAGTTACTCAGAAATTCAAATCTAAAAATTATTTTGTGACATTTTTGTTGATCAGAGAGCAAAGTCCAAGTCTTCACTGTTTGTTACTAATCTTGGAGTGTCTGACTATTGCCAGTACCAAAGTCTATGTTTTTGGAGTACAGTGACTCTGCTGTATCCGTACATTGTCCATTGTACTTTGTATTTTGTTTCTATTTTCTGTGTTTCTTTTGCCAGGTTTCTGATTGGTCGAGAGAAGGATCCGAGCAAGAGTGAGGTTGCCAGGTTGATCCAGCAGTCTCTGGAACAGGACAAACGACGGGAGGATCTACGGAGACAGGAACTGGAACGGCGGGCCAACGAGGAACGCATTCGGAAGGAGGAGGAGAGGATGAGGCTGAAGGAGGAGTTCACACCCAGAGATGAGGTCCTGGAACACAAACTCAAGGATCACGAGGAGATGGAACGCCAACACAGTCACATGTCAGAGTCAGAAAAGGTGGGAATTGACAGGAGGTTGTGATTCACACAATTCATATCTACCTCTTATCTTGATCTTGGTGTCAAATACTCAGATTCTGACCAGGAGAAGTTGTTGAAATCCATTGATGGTTTCTGAAATGATAGAAGCTGATTAGATCACTTATACTGACATACATCCAGTAATGAAATCAAAAACTAATTTACACTGTGACAGAAGTAGTGCTTCTTAATTTCTGGAAGATTTCTTCCTTCTTTAACTCATTTCTTAAGTATAACTACTTCTCATTTTAAAATTTTGAAGTTTTAGATGTTCATTTAAAAAAACAGAGGTCTTGTGCTTGGTGTTATTTTTATCAAAAGAAGAAAGTAATTGAAATTTGGTGGAAAGTATTTGAATTTATGCTTTGTGTGATATTATTCAGCACCATGCATGTGCTTGTGGGTTTGGCTAAAGTGGTGAATATCCAAGAACTGCATCATTCTAAGACTTCAAGCTGCAAGGGAATGTTCCAAATTGTGTAATATAATTTGAGCTGATAACTTAATACTTAATAGTTTGATATAAAGCGTCCTACACCATGACTGGAGGGGCAGAATTATATGATCAAAATCCATCTCGAGCCAAGCTATTGCAAGAATCATGAATGGAAAAAAAACACCTCTGTGGTGTAGTGGTTAGAGCGTCCGCCAGGAGGGCGGAAGGTCGTGGGTTCGATCCCCGACCGCGTCATACCAAAAGACGTTAAAATATGGTACTTGTTGGTCTCTGCCTGGCGCTCGGCATTAATGGGTACAACAAGGACTGGTCGGCTCGGAGTCAGTATAATGTGTCTGAGTGGGGTATTCAAGCTTCACTGCGGCATGGTATCTCAGTGGGCTAGCGCTATAAAACCAGCTTAAGTCTGGGCTAGTACAAGCAGCCGCACATACACATACACACGCATGCATGTCGTCATATGAGCGAAATATTCTCAAGCACGACGTAAAACCCAGTTTCACCTCATGATTGGAAAGGGAATATGTATTGTCTCAAAGACTAGGTAATACATCATTGTGGGTTTCACTCACTCACTCCTTTTTTTGTTTAGGGCATTGTTGAGGACCAGGAAAAGGAGGCCACATCATTAGATATGGTAGAGGGAGCACCTGCTGCAGGGGAGGCAACTCCGATGTCGATGCCCTCGGGGATGGACAGTGATATGAGTTCTCCAGAGGACGACTTTGAGAAGCCAACTGTGGAGGTGTTTGAGCTGCCTGACAGCAGCAGCGACTCTATCTCACCAGACATGGAGCCAGAGGCACTGTTCATTAAATTAAAAGAGGTGAGGAACTCAATTAGACGAGGTCTTAACTATGGAACTGGAAGAAATTTTCTCTCCTCTCACCTTATGTAAATGTAAAGCACTCTCAAATGTAATATGAATTCGATAAACAACCACAGAATGTTTAAGTTCCAAGCTGCTAGGATAGATGTCTTGCATGATAGTGTTTGGAGAAGGACACAAACATTAATGATTGTAGTTGAGGCAACTTAATGGCCGTGATGTCATGCTCAATGGCATGGTTCATAGCAAGTCATCATAGCGTGATGACATGATATCAATCATTTGTTTATAGGAGCAGTTTTCATTATTTGCAGTCTTATAGCCTGAATATTGTTCAGTGGAGACTTACACACGTAAAACAAATTGGAAAATTCCTGATGTACTAAACGACCACCTGTGAAGGTCCGGGTTAGAATATTGATTTTCAGTAACCCATGCTTGTCGTAAGAGGCAACTAACGGGATCGGGTGGTCAGGCTCTCTGGTTGACTTGGTTCCCACATGTGCTGATCAATGCTCATTCACTGGATTGTCTGGTCCAGACTTGATTGTTTACAGACTGCCGCCATATAGCTGGAATATTGCTGAGTGTGGTGTAAAACTAAACTTACTCACTCACTCATTTTTAACAACCATCTCTCATTTTCAGTCTCAGTATAAGAATGCTGTTGCTGATGCAGAATTGGCCAAATTGAGGGCAAAGGTAAGACATTTCTCCCAACATCAACGTTTGCGTTGTATCGAAGTAATCCTTACCACTCTTGATGACCAACCAACTTTTGTGAAGAAAGATGTTCAAATCCTGGATACAAAGTCCTGGTCATGCTACTATGCATATATCCCAACAACACTGTCTGTAGGGTAGCTGAATGTAGTGAAGACAGTTCACACCACATGTTAATGTCAGTGGACAGTAAATGAAGTTGACAGATTTTTGTGGTGTGATGACAGCCAAAATAGAATTATATTAGAGATAGTATTACATGTATCAGAATTGATAGTGATAACTTAAGTTTAATGTCCGTATAGCAGGGTGTCCGGAGTAGCAGGGTCTCACTGTATCGATATTATCCTCCTTCAGATGATCCTGCTGGACAAGGCTGAAGCACAGAAGAAGCTACAGGAGAAGAAGTCGGAGGAACTGGCTCAGAAGCTGAAGGAGGGGGAGAAATCCCATGAAAACACCCGCAAGGAGCTGGCTCACTACCAGGTAGGAGGACTCTCACCATTTAACTAATTTATTGAATGGCCTGTACCCTTCGGTCTAAGTAAACTTAGGCTCAGTTTTATTCATTCCACTGCTACTAGGGTTTGTTAGACTCTGTATAGCAGTGTAGCAAATAATACTTAGCCTAAGTTTACTTAGACTGTGTACCCTTTGGAATATAAGGAATGTATTGGAACAGGAATCTGTACTACATCTAGGTAATACATTATTGATATATTATTTGTGAAAATGGTGACATTTTATAAATTACCTCATGCTATTTGCTTATTGATTTATGTAACTGCTCATCAAAGACTTACATTCCAAACTAACTCCTGATTTCCAGGATCTGATGGAGGGATCACAGGGCCAGTATATCATGCTGGAGAAGAAGATGAAGTCAGATTTCACAGCCTTGGAGAAGAAGTACCACAAGGCCAAGAAACTGATCAAAGATTACCAAATCAGGTGAGTTGCTTCTCCCTCTAGAGTTGCATCAGCAGCAGCTTGTCCAGGTCTGAACTGATGTACCTGATGGTTTTTTAAGTTATATCTAATTCCTTATGCTTTTGTCCTTGAGATCCTGTAGTACTGATATCCAATAATTATAGGCGTAAACATTCCCTCTGGATTATGGTTGCCTTATTCCTGTGGATTCCACAGACAAATACAGAATGAAAATTTTAACTAAGTCATAGCTATCCCTAGTGGTATGCTTAAAGAGTTATGCAGTTATCTCCCTTAGCTGTGATGTCACAACGTAGTTGTTGAAAACCTCTCATAATTTTTCTGTATGTATATGTAGTATTGATAGCCAATATTTGGGGAAGTGTTTTAGATACCAGATGATTGTCATGGTAAGGGGAAAATGAAAATGTCTGCATCTTCGTTATAAAGATAACTTAGTGTCCATGCAAGTCCAAATGATTTCTCTGTAATGATTATGGAAAGGTAAAGATGTATTTCAGTCTGATGTTTCAGTTGTTTTAGTGAAATTAGTGAGACATCTTTTTGCTGTGTCTGGTTGTGTGGATAGAACTTATGCCTGGAGAGTGTCAGGCCTGTGGTTTTCTCCCTTGCCATGTCATACCAAAGGCTGTTAAGACAAGGACTGGTTGGCTTGGAGTCAGGATACTGTGTCTGATTTGGGTGTCCATTAGTGTTGGGAATCGGAAAACAAATCCACTATCGATTATTGGAGGACTTGTGGTGAATGATTATCGATTATAATCGAAATGTATACATTTTTTAATGTAATCACCAATTTTAAGGTTTATTTCCCAGTTCTTTTCTAATTAATGTTTTTTATAACTAAAACTGTCATGCAATGAAATGCACACATGCAAGAACAAATATTTATCAATATATCTTGTTACGTTCACGATAGGTGTAAAACTTATTCATAGACAGGTTACAGTAATATTTACCATAGTGATGAATACGACACTATGAATACAATGGACATAGCTTTATGCTGTTGGGCGAATGTTTGTTCATGAATATTCGTCAAATTTAACGGTTAGTTTATTTCATTCTAGTGTGTTATACTAAAACAACAAAATTCTGATTTATCGAAAATATGTTTTTTACAATCGATAATTATTTTTAATCCTTCTTCGATCGTTTTTTGATTATTTTCGATCATCAGAACACCACTAGTGTCCACATCAACAACCTACTTTGTATGCCAGTTGGTTGGCACTGTTAATTCATTACTCCAGACGAGTCCAAGCAGCCATCATTTCACTACATCAGTGTAATAATCTCATGTCACCGTTTCCCGCATATTTTGATGTACACAAAGCCTGTATACTCTGTTGTTGTTCTGCAGAGAGAAAGACTTCATCCAGGAGAGGGAATCTCTGATACAACTGCAGTCGGAGAAGGATCAGCAGTACAACGCTCTGGTCAAGTCACTCAAGGATAGGGTCAGTAGCTGTTGGAAAGAGAACAGTATACCTGACTGCCATTAGGACTAACACACTTTAGAAGCTGCCCTGACTGAACACTGGTTTTAAGGAACTGCAGCATATCTTAATTATTGAATTTAGACATGAATTAACTGCAGGCCTGAAGGTCCCATAAAAATTTGAAACATGAGTCCTACAAAAATCCACCTGTCATACGGAAGTGCTTATTTTAAACACCGGTCCATAATCTGCGTGATATGAATTTTCAATCATGGGTGGTTCAGTTTCTTTAAGATACTAAATTGACCATATCTATAAAACAAAGTGGTTCAAAAGTGTCGGAATTGTATAAACATGCTTGAAAGGTACTGGAACTTAAACAGGAACCAGCCTTGAAAGATTTACAAATATATTTTTGCCTCCCTCTGATGAGATTGAGCAACTCCTGGGCTCCTCCCGCCTACATCTGTACAATAGATGGAAAGTTCTCACCCTGCGTCCTTCCTCCTATAGATATTCCAGCTTGAGAAGGACCTGATTGAGGCACAGAAGGCAGCTGGTCTGCCTGTAAACTTGTCAGGGGACACTACAAAGGATAACGAAGAATCGGAATTCGTGAAGGCTGTCATCACGTCCAACGGACTTGGTAAGATCTGGTGGTGGAAGTTGTGGATTGGTAACAGTTCAATTGCCTTGTATCTTTCCACAGCCACATATGTGATGCATCTTGACCTTGTTAAGATAGAAAATTATAGACCAGTATCATCACGCTGGCTGATATTCTTTCAGAAACCTCTGCACACTGTTAGCATGCCACTCATATATCTGCCAGTTTTCAGTACTATTACCCACTGAACATCTTTTACAGCAGTTTTTTTTATTATTATTATTTTCATTTGAAGTCACCTTTGTTAATTATTTAGTAGGTTTTGTTATTTTTTTAACAAAGTGTAATTATTCCTTATATAAATATCACACGTTTTTAAATACAGTTCTTTAATTTTAATTGACTAGTTATTGTGGCACATTTGTGCAAGTGGAATAACGTGGTTCAGGGGCTTTTAGTTAGTGTTTTGTTTTGTGTTCACTGGTGACTTGCTTGTAGCCTGTGTTTTGTTTGTGTAAATTATATTTGTTTTAAGGAAGTGGATGCACTCTTCTTTGAATTCTCCAAGAAATATTGATAGGGAAACAGTATATGTCAGATACAGACTTCCCAATACCAGGCTTTGTGTTTATAGAAGACACCACATCAAGTTTATCGTCAGCCAAACAGTCGAGGGATGACCTCTCGGAAATATCTACAGGGTCCGACCATTCCAACTCAGAACCAGTCACAACGCCAGGTACCTGATCCTACACTTGTACCCATACTACAGAGAGACACTGCCTTGGGGAGGCCTAGTTGGACGGCTCTCAGTAGCCACTGCAGGAGCCGAGCCACAAAGCGTTCATAACGTTATGACCTGTCGTAACTCTATAGTTTATCGTATGATTATGAATGTTGTAGCGCTACGAACGCTTTGTGGATTGGGACCCTCGTTATAACAGGCGACTTATGGATTGGATGGTCAACTCGGCGACCTAGCTGATTGTGTGTTATCGTACACCGATAGGGTGAATCATTGTCAATGTATCAATCATTGGATTGTCTGGTATAGGCTCATTAGAGGTGGTTGACTTAGCAGGAATATTGCGCAATGCAGCATTTAGCGATGAACAGTTAAACTGACTGACTGACTGAGTGTGGTTTTACGCCGCTTTTAGCAATATTCCAGCAACATCACGGCGGGAGACACCAGAAATGGGCTTCACACATTGTACCCATGTGGGGATTCGAACCCGGGTCTTCGGTGTGACGAGCCAACGCTTTAACCCTTAGGCTACCCCACCGCCCCTAACAGTTAAACAAATACAAACAGTGCTGATGTCCTTCTAGAGCATCATAATACTTAATCTGATCAGCGTCAACTATTAGGTCTTGGATGGCTGCGGGGCTGCCTCCCTTAGGCATGCCAATACTTTATGGCTTCAGATCATGGCAACAGAATGTACAACAACTCACATACATTTTCTTCTCCGATAAGAATGGTTTTTAGATATCAATCCCAGAAATATTTGACTACCTTAAGATGCTACATGGAATCATTTGATAACCGTTATCAAAGCTGGTGGATGTGGTCTTACAGCAGCCAGATTTAAATACCACCGTACAATGGTGTACTTTTGGGTCTCCAATGTCATGACTAAATTCAGTGTAACTGCAACGAATTGCAGATCAATATGTTAATATGACTCTCATGTGTATGGAGGCATGATAAGCTTCACAAAATCTTATATCTGTATTTGGTGCCTCACTTGCAATGAGAACAGCACATATTACTTGGAAGAGAGTTATGGTCGCATTAATGTCTCATTTACAAGAATATGATGATTTGTACTGGTAATGTGTAGTATTTGTGAGTAGTGAAAAAATGTAACTAAGCAAAATGTGGTGGTGGTGGAATTGGGTTTAACGTCGTGCTTGAGAATATTTCGCTCATATGATGACATGCATGCGTGTGTATGTGTATGTGCGGCTGCTTGTACTAGCCCAGACTGAAGCTGGTTTTATAGTGCTAGCCCACTGAGATACCATGCCACAGTGAAGCATGAATACCCCACTCAGACACATTATACTGACTCCGAGCCGACCAGTCCTTGTTGTACCCACTAATGCCGAGCGCCAGGCAGGGACCAACAAGTACCATATTTTAACGTCTTTTGGTATGACGCGGTCGGGGATCGAACCCACGACCTTCCGCACTCCGGGCGGACGCTCTAACCACTACACCACAGGAGGCGGTCAAGCAAAATGTAGATGAATGTCCTGCAGTATAGATAGTTAGAGCACTTTGTGTTGACACAGCATTTGGGACTTGGTGCATTGTTTGTGGTGCTGGATAGCATGTGTTTGGGAATATATTTGAATGTTTTATTCAATTTTTTTCAATATTTTTTTTAGTTGTTTGATTAGTAACTTTTCTTGAATTTTTTGCTACTGACCCTTTGATTAGTAATTACTATCATCATGTCTTGTGTTGCCCGTCTGTCATAAAGGTTGTGAAGACGGCAACAGAGATACAGTAATGAACACTGAGGCTTGGAAAGTAACTCCATCTTCTAGTTCCACTGCTGTGTAATGATCCATATGGTTAAGATAAGTTTATGTATGTGGCATGCTATCTTCAGATATCCTCAATGATATGGAGAAGTCGTCCCCCACCAAATCAGAGTCTGCTCAGGATCTGGGGTCAGTGCCCTCCACCCCTCTCCTCGACACCTCCGCCCACCGCGCCAAGGCGCAGCTGGCCAGTGGTATGGGTGCCAGAAGGCCCCCAACCAAGAGGTCAAAGGTGAGATAAGGTTACCCCTTACAAGGGCGTTCTAAAAATTCTATTTGAAATAGGTGCAGCCTTATGTTTCTCCTGAGACTTTGTGATTTATTTGACTGGTGTCATCAGGTTGTTAATCAGTGCTCATACTTTCATTCCACCAGTCAGGACGAAATGTATACTACCCAAAATAAGTCAAGGATAACTTGATTCTTTCATATTAGTAAAGGTCATAGCATAGAAAGATATGACTGATCTGGGAAGATACATCCTCGATAATCTCCAGGGTATACGTTACGATCACTCTCCACTATACCCTGGATGCATCCACGGCTTGGTCCGATAATTTTATTACCTCCCTTTGCTGGCTTTTTATACAATCAGGTGTCTACGCTAAGAAGTTGAGCGAACCAATCACAACTCAGTTTCGCTTCTTAAATTATCTAACCGCTTAAACTTGGCAACACAAGTGATGCACAGGTACTCTGAATGAGGTAGAAGGAGTTCTTTCATATATTTCAGTTTCAGATCTGTCAATTTGTCTGTATTATTTCCCCAAAAATCTGAGTGGCACTGCGAACAAACCTTCGCGACTGCGACCCCTATGTTTGTTGACACTGGCAATCTCGGATGTAACGGTGGCTTAGCTGATTGGCTACAGTGAAAATGGGGAGCCAGCAAAGGGAGGTAATAAAGTTATCGGGATGTGGATGTATCCAGGGTATAGTGGAGAGTGATCGTAACGTATACCCTGGAGATTGTCGAGGATGGGAAGATAGAGCAAGTCGAGTAATATGAAAGAATCAGGCATCACAGATCAACTTGAGTTATATGAAAAAATCAGGTGTCCCTTAACCTCTTTTGAATAGTTTGGCTTTAGTATTGCTTTGAATACACAATGCCATTTAGAAAGTTGTCAAATGTAACTATGTTATGTTTCGGATTACACTTTCTCATTAAAGTACAGATAATACGTTTGTTGGGTTGAGTCCCCTCCGGGATTCGAACCCACACCCTCAGAGTCAGGCAACTAATCGCCACCACACAAAGTAAGCTGCCTAACCCACTCAGCCACCATGACTTCAGTATTGCTTGCTGCAGAATGAATCATCATTCACTGACTCATGTACAAGTAGAGGACATGCTATACTTGGTTACAGTTGGATGTTGTTATGTGACTGTAGCTTTTATGGTTTATGGAGTTAGATTTGGGTGAACCCCATTGACGTTCGAAACACCAGCTGTGTGAAGCCCATTTGTGGTGGACCAAATGGACATTATGGCTAAAAGTGGTGACTTGGATACCTGGGTGTTATGTGACTGTAGCTCTCTATAGCACTTTAGAGTAGTTTGGGTGAACCCATTGCCATGCATTAACATTAACTTCATTGTAAGGACTATCTTAGCAAGAGAGCTGGGTCAGTGACTAGGCCCAGCATGACTCCAGACTTGAATGTAGCTCGCACGCTACTAGGTTTTTCAGAGACAGTCTTCTTGAATTTCCAAATCAATTATTTCTGTTGCGGTTGTTCGCAGTCTTCTGAGAGTGACCAGGACACCAATGAAACAGACAGTCTAAGACACGAGGGCAGTGAGAGCGGCTTGGAAACTTGGATCAAGCATGACAGGTATTGGCGGTTTTCTTACATGTGTGTGCGTGCGTGTGTGTGTCTCTCACTGCTAGACATCCGTGACATCATGATCATAGTGACATCATCAGCTCAGGGACCATGTCAAAATCAGTCTGTGTCAAGGGACCATGTCAAAATCAGTCTGTGTCAAGGGACCATGTCAAAAGTCAGTCTGTGTCAAGGGACCATGTCAAAATCAGTCTGTGTCAAGGGACCATGTCAAAATCAGTCTGTGTCAAGGGACCATGTCAAAATCAGTCTGTGTCAAGGGACCATGTCAGGGTGCATCTGTGTCAGTCTGTGTCAAGGGACCATGTCAGAGTTAGTCTGTGTCAAGGGACCATGTCAGAGTTAGTCTGTGTCAAGGGACCATGTCAGAGTTAGTCTGTGTCAAGGGACCATGTCAAAATCAGTCAGTCTGTGTCAAGGGACCATGTCAAAATCAGTCTGTGTCAAGGGACCATGTCAGAAATCAGTCTGTGTCAAGGGACCATGTCAGAGTTAGTCTGTGTCAAGGGACCATGTCAGAGTTAGTCTGTGTCAAGGGACCATGTCAGAGTTAGTCTGTGTCAAGGGACCATGTCAGAATCAGTCTGTGTCAAGGGACCATGTCAGAAGTTAGTCTGTGTCAAGGGACCATGTCAAAATTAGTCTGTGTCAAGGGACCATGTCAAAATCAGTCTGTGTCAAGGGACCATGTCAGGAATCAGTCTGTGTCAAGGGACCATGTCAAAATCAGTCTGTGTCAAGCGACCATGGCAGAGTTAGTCTGTGTCAAGGGACCTTGTCAGAGTTAGTCTGTGTCAAGGGACCATGTCAGAGTTAGTCTGTGTCAAGGGACCATGTCAGAGTTAGTCTGTGTCAAGGGACCATGTCAGAGTTAGTCTGTGTCAAGGGACCATGTCAGAGTTAGTCTGTGTCAAGGGACCATGTCAGAGTTAGTCTGTGTCAAGGGACCATGTCAGAGTTAGTCTGTGTCAAGGGACCATGTCAGAGTTAGTCTGTGTCAAGGGACCATGTCAGAGTTAGTCTGTGTCAAGGGACCATGTCAGAGTTAGTCTGTGTCAAGAGACCATGTCAGAGTTAGTCTGTGTCAAGGGACCATGTCAGAATCAGTCTGTGTCAAGGGACCATGTCAGAGTTAGTCTGTGTCAAGGGACCATGTCAGAGTTAGTCTGTGTCAAGGGACCATGTCAGAATCAGTCTGTGTCAAGGGACCATGTCAGAGTTAGTCTGTGTCAAGGGACCATGTCAGAATCAGTCTGTGTCAAGCGACCATGGCAGAGTTAGTCTGTGTCAAGGGACCTTGTCAGAGTTAGTCTGTGTCAAGGGACCATGTCAGAGTTAGTCTGTGTCAAGGGACCATGTCAGAGTTAGTCTGTGTCAAGGGACCATGTCAGAGTTAGTCTGTGTCAAGGGACCATGTCAGAGTTAGTCTGTGTCAAGGGACCATGTCAGAGTTAGTCTGTGTCAAGGGACCATGTCAGAGTTAGTCTGTGTCAGTCTGTGTGTCAAGGGACCATGTCAGAGTTAGTCTGTGTCAAGGGACCATGTCAGAGTTAGTCTGTGTCAAGAACCATGTCAGAGAAAGGGACCAAATTAGTCTGTGTCAAGGGACCATGTCAGAATCAGTCTGTGTCAAAGGGACCATGTCAGAGTTAGTCTGTGTCAAGGGACCATGTCAGAACCGTGACCAGTCTGTGTCAAGGGACCATGTCAGGAATCAGTCTGTGTCAAGGGACCATGTCAGAGTTTAGTCTGTGTCAAGGGACCATGTCAGAATCAGTCTGTGTCAAGCGACCATGGCAGAGTCCAGAGTAGTCTGTGTCAAGGGACCTTGTCAGAGTTAGTCTGTGTCAAGGGACCATGTCAGAGAAGTTAGTCTGTGTCAAGGGACCATGTCAGAGAGTTAGTCTGTGTCAAGGGACCATGTCAGGACTACATAGTCTGTGTCAAGGGACCATGTCAGAGTTAGTCTGTGTCAAGGGACCATGTCAGAGAGTTAGTCTGTGTCAAGGACCATGTCAGAGTTAGTCTGTGTCAAGGGACCATGTCAGAGTTAGTCTGTGTCAAGGGACCATGTCAGAATCAGTCTGTGTTAAGGGACCATGTCAGAGTGTAGTCTGTGTCAAAGGGACCATGTCAGAGTTAGTCTGTGTCAAGGGACCATGGCAGAAGTTAGTCTGTGTCAAGGGACCATGTCAGAGTTAGTCTGTGTCAAGGGACCATGTCAGAGTTAGTCTGTGTCAAGGGACCATGTCAGAGTTAGTCTGTGTCAAGGGACCATGGCAGAGTTAGTCTGTGTCAAGGGACCATGTCAGAGTTAGTCTGTGTCAAGGGACCATGTCAGAGTTAGTCTGTGTCAAGGGACCATGTCAGAGTAAGTCTGTGTCAAGGGACCATGTCAGAGTTAGTCTGTGTCAAGGGACCATGTCAGAGTTAGTCTGTGTCAAGGGACCATGTCAGAGTTAGTCTGTGTTAAGGGACCATGTCCCTATAATCAAGCCATGTTGAGTTATTCTAGAGGATGATCAAACATGCACTGAATAATTTGAATTTTGTATCACTTTGTGTGCATAATTATACTACTCCTGCAAGCTTCAATTCCTGGACTAAAAGAAATTTGACTCGTCTTCAGCTTCAAAGACTGCTTCTTCAGTCAATCAATGCACTAGCATTTTGACATGGTACCCTATTTCGGGGCATTGCCCAACGTAAACATCTTAAATGTCGCTGCTTGTGAACAATACATGCTGTTGATGCTGTTGCTGTGTTGGTGGAAGGAATATTAATACAAGGCACATCTGTGTCACCAATTTGAATCACATATAAGCTATAACATAAAGCTATGATAGTATATATAGCATTTCACACATTCTTCCAGCTTTCAAATGTTTATACTCATTAATAATGCTTGGCCAATTCATATCTTTCTTTTAAGGACCTGTCTTCCTTTAAACAATGCAAAAATTTACCTGAAATAACCATGAATACAGATTCGGATTTAATCATCATATTAATGATACTGATGAAGTTTATCCTTACCAAATTACGATGGTCTGTCGTTATGAATATTTAAAGCAATAATTCCACTGTCAACAGAACAGCTTAGCCATGACTGACATGTAATGTGATGATAATATACTGATTAATGTTCCTTTATGGTAGAGTAGCATTCTTCCCAGTCACCTGCTCATCTGGTGCATGTCACATCATCATCATCATCATCATCATCATCATCATCATCATCATCATCACCACTCATAGCTACCATCTCACTCAGTGACACATCAGTCCCCATAACACACTCCTCATTCATCTTGAGTACCGCAAGTATTGGATGAACAGGAGCTCCCTTTATCTAGTGGTGTTACACATAGATTATTTTTCTTTAACTACGTCTTGTTCTATCTGCATGAGAATGTACTTTCAAAATTTAATGCAATAATTTATTAATTTTTTAAAATCAATCTTTCATGGTTTTTTCCTCATCCTCATAGTGTTAGATATCTTTATGATTATAAAGAGATAAGACATGAGTGCTTAATTCTGATGTATGCATCTAATCCTCTAACTTCGTTTGATTGTTAATGCATTACATTAATCCATGATCCATTGCAAACTGACGGTTGGTAATTTGCTGTATAATTCTAATCCCAGAGCTTCAGTTCCAATTCCATGTTCTATTAAAATCTTGTTTGGAGGCCAAGGTCATTGAAACATAAGAATAATGTCCCTGCTTTTAACTTTGCATGACCTTGGTATCATTCGTGATGTTTCATATTAAAAAAATTCTTTTTCAAGTATAATATTTCTATGTAATTACATCATAGCCACATGTGATATTCATGAGCTTGGTGCTGCAGAGGCAGGCCTGTTTTCCTATCACCTCCAACTTGAATATACCAGCCACAGCTTCTGTACAAAGATGGCTATATTCCCAGTAGTGGTGGTCCGATTAATTGAAATAATCGAAGATTTGTCGCAATGACAAAACGACCAATCAATCGATCATGTTTTCTCATAATCGAACACAAACAATTTTGGAACACTTGTTTGCAATAACGATATTTTTAACAAGGTTGGTTTTGTCTGTTACATTTCATTAGCACTACAAGCTCTTCCAATTCATGATTGAATTTATTTTAAAGACTCCATGAAGTTCATGTTCCTAATACACTAGTCATCCTTTAAAGATGTGAAATTTGCAAATGCATTTTGTGCAATTTGCAAAAAAACGAAAGAACTACATGTTTTTTCTTTATTTTTTGTGCATTAACAAACATAACCAGAAAAATTTAATAAATGACGCTAACCAATTATTTTCGATGATTGATCGGTTGTAATGAACCAATCATCAATTATGAGATTTAAACCAATTCCCAACACTAATTCCCAGTAGAGCTAGTGTTTCATATAGGTGGCAGATAGTAATTCTCTCTTTGTCTGCTCACCTAGACTCCCAGCCTTCATATATCTGTAAGTAATACATTCTTGTAAGACTTGTCATTAAAACAATAAAAACATAACATTTATATTTTGATTCGATTCAATTTTATTGTCGGAAATTTGAAGTTTTATTTGACTTGGAACACTAATATGTTGGGAAACAGTTTGATCATACTCAATTTTGATATAATGATTACATTTGTCACTTCTTTTAAAAAACAGGGGCGGTGGGGTAGCCTAATGGTTAAAGTGTTGGCTCGTCACGCCGAAGACCCGGGTTCGAATCCCCACATGGGCACAATGTGTGAAGCCCATTTCTGGTGTCCCCAGCCGTGATGTTGCTGGAATATTGCTAAAAGTGGTGTAAAAAGCAAACTCAGTCAGTCAGTCTTTTAAAAAACACCTAACACAGTTTGAGAATTGGTCTTGTGTATCATTGAGAGGTAAAAGTATTAAAAGGAAAGTAGCATTATACAGTTTCAAGTAGAATACAGAGTTAACTCCCTTAGTTGCTGACACACATTTTCATTTGTGGGATTGGTATTTAATTAATTTTAAAAGAAAGCTATTTATCTTTGGGAAAATGACAAGCCTTACAGTTTTAGCTACTGCATGCAATAGGCTTAGAAGTCTTGTGCAGTTACATGTGCATTGCATTTTGCTCTTACGATGTCTTTATTTCAGTGAAATGTCATTATATGTTTTCATACTGAAGACAATTTGTGCTGTATTTGCCAACTTTATTTTGGTATTGTTTGTTGTAAAACTTCATTTTCAAATATTATGTGTTAAAATGATGCATTCGAACTGAATCAGTACATCATTCAGGAGAGTCAAAATTTCCAAGTAACAATAAAGAGTTCTGTCCTTCATACACTGGACTACATACAGTCTTGCCTCATCGTTTTAACGACTTTCAGCTCTGTGGTGATCAGATTCTGTGGCTATACTTTATTTCTGCTTGCATTTCTATTTGTTCACAAGGAATGTAGATCTGAAAATGTTAAAAATTGAAAAATCAATTTTGCGGGAATACAGGTGTATGAAAAAAATGAAATGTGACAAATTAAGCGGTGTGACCGGATATTGATCTACATTCCTTAGTATCTGTTACGCCTCTATCTACAGCGACAGCACAGTCAGGAAAAGTGATGCTAAAAAGCGTCGAGCATTTCAGCCAATCGAAGCAATTCCTTCACCTCCGCTTCCCCGCTCTGCTCATCCTCCTCCTCCGCCCATTTCGTCTCAGGTGGCTCCCCCTGTGAATGAGAGTGATAATAATTCTGAACAATCGTCACGGTCTAGGTAACCCAACTTGGATATCTGCATGTTTACAACTCCCAGAAAATAAGTACCGGTAGGCTATTCAGGAAACAAAAGTTGTTGGCAGGAAAACGTTCCGAATTTTTAATACATGGTAATTCTCCCTCGCAAATGGGTCCTTTCATCGTCATTAGTCATCATCCATGCTATTCATGCATTTCACTGCCAGTTGTTTCTGATATTACATGCGTGCCAGTTTTTTGCAAATATTTCATTGCGAGTCACTTGTCAGCCTTATGTATATTTATTTCTGCTACTGTATCTGCCATATTTGTTAGTTTGCCTACTTTTTGTTTCTTTAAGTCACGGTTGTACTTACAAAATGGCCTTATGTTGTCACCAATATGTGAATAGCGTGCACTATCATCCTGTATAATGTTTATCACTCTGTTCTCTGTGGTAAAGGTAAAATCTTGTGATGCTAATGGTTTCTTTCTTGCATATGTTATACCTTGTATTTATCCCTTCTTGATGTGGGGTAGCCCAGTGGTTAAAGTGTTTGGTCTTCTCGCCAAAGGCCCAGGTTCAATTCCCACATGGGTACAATGTGAGAAGCCCATTTCAGGTGTCCCCCCGCCGTGATATTGCTGGAATATTGCAAAAAGAGGCGTAAAACCTAACTCACTCACTCACTCCTTTTTGATGTCTACTTGGTAAACTTTCATTAAGTGTTTATCTTAAGTGATTATCTGAATCATTCCGTACATTTTTATTGATTGCATCAATTTTTATATCTCTGACACAAGAGTCACCGGCATTTATTCCAGGAGAGGGAGCCACTCTGATAATTCTTCATCAGTTTCTCAGACATCCTATGATCCATCACAGCCTAATTTTCGAAATATGGATGGTGAGATTCCAGACTTTTCGGGAGACAGTCAGTCAGGGGAGATCACTGTGGTGTCTACCAAATTTTCTGGATCTAAAGGTAAGAAATGCTTGAAAACTGTGGTAGTGTTCTTCACCTTGAACTAAACCTTATGGAGAGAGCACGAGAGGGTTTTCTTGGCTCTTGGTTCTAACATGGTGAGAGGTTGTAGAACTGTGATTTCGAAGAATTTTGTCAAAAGAGCAAACAAACACATGATTTCGAAGAATTTTGTCAAAAGCAAAAACATATCTTTGAGCCATACTGTTCACAAGTAGCAGTTAGGATTTTGAAATCTTGGGCCATTCGCAAAACAGGAATTGATCAGAACAAATATGATATCAAAAATCTGTGGTAGTTTTCATATCTAGCCCTGTGAAAAGCTTGAAGCTTTCTACAGATTTCTAAAGATAAAAGGGATTTTATTGTGGTAAAAAAAATAGAGCCTCCATCTTCATTGCCTCCATCCTTGTGAACCAAGAAGAAAGATATTCCGTGTGTGACCTCTGATAGACAGTATCGATACACAGTAGTCGACACAAGTGGTGTGCGTGTATATATGCATGATCGTCCGACATTAAAGGACATATGCATGATGAGTGTCAACTTCACCAGAAGTGTATTGTGGGTGTGATGGCCACGGTCAGATTCACATCTAACATTACGTCATGGAGTAACATTTATTCACATTTCCATGATTAATGATAGAACCACAACAAATATATATAGGATGTTGATATCAGGTAAATACAAATATTAAATATCAGCCTGTTCAGTAATAGCTTGTAAAATGCCAGGTGAGGTGATGAGGACCACAGGCCCTTTGTGTCTTTGCGAAAATTAAAGATTAAACAAATTTTTTATTTGAGATGACCCCCGATTCGAAATGCTTTACAGTACAATACATTTTGACAAGGCGGGACACTTCGGTGTACCCTACCCGCCTGCTTGCCGATCGCTACGCTACCATCACATGCAATTGATTAAAACTTAATGTAAACATAATTATGGATGATTGGCCTATAGATCAGAGGGCTTGCTTCGACCACACCCCCGTTGTGTGCGGACATATCGTCATCCATTTGTGTCAAGATTGTTTAGTTGGGGGTCAAAATCAGCTTTCAATCAACTTGTAGAAATAACAATAAAGAATTGGTAGGTGTCATGAGTGGTACAGTGGGTGTTGTCTCGTAAACAGTCAGAGTTTGCATTTTCCTAATATCTGCATCCTAATATATATTTGTTGTGGATCTATGAATAATCAAGAAGATATGAATAAACGTCACTACATGGTAATCTTAACACTGATAGAGTTGCAAGTGAGTATTGTTGATGTGCATTATTTATTTGAGTGAATTAACACCTCCAAACAAACGTGGTTTTCAGTTAACAATGTGTGTAGAGTTTTCTTTGTTTTAATTTTGAGTTTGGATGTTGATGTATATGAATTTGTTGAGCATGGATATTGTTGATTATATATTTAGGATCACCCATGTTGATATGTGAATTGTCAATATATACATTAACAAACTACATTTTAATTTTGAAACAACTTGGAATATGTATAAGGCCAGCACTGTTAACAATATTAACACAACCAAACTGAAACAAAGTTATTGGCCTCATAAACTGACAGTATGTACTAATTCACATTTCACATGGGTAACATGGATATTAATCACTAATGTATTAGATGTTACTTTCCCTTTTGTAGACACTTGTAACAAATGTACTAACAGGTTTATGATTGTTTCCTAGAGACAAGCTTTCAATGTCAAGATAAGCACCACATGAAGAACAGTACTTTCACAACTTAAGGCTGCAGTTGGACAAGAGTTAGCCCGAGTCTTGATCTTTCCTATAAACTAAGTCCTCATTTATCGATACACATGTTAAAAACAAAACCTATTTGAAAAATTCTGATTGCAGACAACAACAAAAATTATTAAGTAATCTTTTTCTGCCCAGAATGTTTCTCTTCTGTTAATATGGTAATTAGTTTTAGGACAAGCCCTACTGTGTCTTTTTGAAAGATTTTGTGAAACATCGTCTTACCTTGCTCTTCAAACTGCAGTCTCAAGTTCTGAATTTATTGTTTTTCACTAATTGTTATCTGAACAAGCAAATAACACACAAATGCCGCCCTATCCTTCCAACAAACTCCAGTTATATCCTTCCCTTCCCGTTTCAGGGCCCCGTTCCACCAAAACTATCTTGGTGTATACTGTTGTAGGTATATAGGATGTATGAGTTAGGACAGCCTAGTGCCAAGGTAGTTTGGTGGAATGAGGCCCTGGGTTTATTATTCGTGTCATCTATCGTCATCGTTCTTCCCGTCTTTTCACAATCTGCTGAGGTCGTTGGGCATTCTGTTGGGTTATTTTTCTTCCTTCATTGTCTCTTCATTTCATGGGGACATGGGTGGCTCAGTGGTCTAAGGTACATCCTTAGTGCCCGGACCTTGGTTTGAATCCAAGAGTTGTCTTGATTTTGATCCTTGGTTTGTCAACCTTCCTTGTCAGTTTCAATATGGAAGTAAACACCTACGACCTGTCTGACTCCAGTCTTTCCTGCCATACAGGTCAGCTATCTGTTGATTCAGCTGAAGTGGGGTTTAAAACAGCCTGGACTTATTTTAGTGAATTCAGCTGGGCTCAGTCAGCATGCTGTCGTATCATCAGGTGTTACTTGAGGAACAGGCAGAATTCTTGGTCATAGGCCTCTTGACAGCCAGTGCTGGGTGTTTATTATCAGATAGGCTCAGAGACTGGTTGATGCACAGTCATTGCCCAAGGTGGCTTTGATCATGCTCAGTTCAGACTCATATATTTACAGGCGGCATTCATAGAGGTGACACATTGCTGAGGGCAGTGTTTAACAATTAACAAAATAAGACTGAATTGCATAAATTTACCCCGAGGATAAAAAGTGGTTTTCATCTTTTCAGTTGAAATTTTTTGTTTACCTTTGGGAAGATTTTGTCTGAAATACGTCTTGGATGGGCTTTTCTAAGTTGGATAACTTATGCCCAATACTTTTCTTTCATGAATAATTTGGATGTATGGATCAGAAAGTTCCAACATGGACCTTGCATATTCTGTGTCTTTGTGAGGAGATGATAAGGACTGCTGCCATGTGGTTTCCCTGGTCCAGAGGGGCGCTGGGGTAGCCTAGTGGTTAAAGTGTTCGCTCGTCACGCTGAAAACCCGGGTTCAATTCCCCACATGGGTACAATGTGTGAAGCCCATTTCTGGTGTCCCCGCCGTGATATTGCTGGAATACTGCTAAAAGCGGCGTAAAACTAAACTCACTCACTCACCCTGGTCCAGATTTGATCTCCTCAGGTGGCTCTGATATAACTGTTATGTTACTGACTGATAACGCAACATTCACACAACTCACCCCTGTAAGCCAACCATGCGCTGACTTACTGTACAATTATACCTAACACTGCTTAACATTGACTGTTATTGGACACTAATGTTCATCAGGCTGTATTCATCTCACACTCACATGTTAGCTTACAGTTCACACTTCAGCTGCATATACAATGTTCAGCTGCCGTCTCCTGATCAGTTTTGTTACTCCTGTCTAATCCCTTCAACCATTATTGAAACCACTGCAACACCAATATCACATCTCTCTCTGCCCTGGTTCACATCCCTACATGTGACCCCACCCTGATCTCAGTTATCAACACCCTGATCTCAGTTTTTATGACAACACTCCAGACTTCAGTTTATATCCACACCCTGATTTCAGTTTTTATCTACACCCTGATTTCAGTTTTTATCCACGCTCTGATCTCAGTTTTTATCCACGCTGTGATCTCAGTTTTTATCCCCACCTGATCTGTTTTTATCCACGCTCTGATCTCAGTTTTTATCTACACCCTGATCTCAGTTTTTATCCACGCTCTGATCTCAGTTTTTATCCCCACCTGATTTCAGTTTTTATCCACGCTCTGATCTCAGTTTTTATCTACACCCTTATCTCAGTTTTTATCCACACCTGATCTCAGTTATTGTATCAACACCCTGATTTCAGTATTTTATCCACAATAGTTTTTATCAGTGTCGGCATGTCTCTCCAGAACCCATCAAGGTGCCTACAACACAATGCCACTCTACACCATGCCGCATTATGGTACGCAATGCAACGCCATACCACACCACGCCAACTGCCGCCATGATTGTCTGCCCCTGCCCACCTGTATATAACTCACTTGACATACAACTTATTCCTCGTACAGGCTTTGGTTTTCCTAAATTCTCGCTGAAGCCCAAGTCCTCCGGTGGGGGCAGTTCCAGCAGCAGTGGGGTTGTGCTGCTGTCTAACCGACCACGTGACAGTCCTGCCACCCCTGATCAGGGGGGGATAACTCTCATTTCTAAAAAAAACCTAGATACAGGCTTATATGATTACGACGGTAAGTTACACAGTTCTGTCAAATGAGCAAGAAGTTAAGTGAATTTTAGAAACATTTCGATCTTTTTATGAGTCTAATTATCAAATTCCTGTTTTAATGGGGAATGTTTGATAATACCTCTCCTATCTTGAACTGAATCTGTCCTGTATTTCTCATAAACTCTCGACTTTCATTGTTTATTTCTATGTGTTGTGATTGCTACATGCTTACATATGTATTATATGTGTTATTTGTTGAAATTATACTTTTATGTAATGTCAGATAGTCAGGCATGTTTCCTCTCAGTGGATAAGGATTTATATTGCATGGGAAAGGATTTAACCCTTCCATGAACTAACTGAATGTTTATTCGCATGAATAGTGTAGGGATCCTTTTGTGTGGTAGGAATGTGCATGTCACTTTCAGTCAATCAAACTTGCATTTATCGTTATGTGGAAGAGACTTTTTCAGCTCAAGAGATCATGCGCCCTGTTCAATCTAATACAGGAACACTTTATAATATTGAATCTTGAACTTTTATTCTTGTAAATATGATTGCCTGTGAAATAACAAAAATATATGAACTTTTCAATTTAATTAGTTTGTTTTCCATTTGACTCTGGTATATCTGAATGTTATTACTCCTCATTGTTATTTTCTAAAATATTTTTCTGCTAAGTTTCCAACTTTTGAAATCCTGATCACAGGGATTCAAGAGAGGAATACAATTCTATTTATGAAATGATAGGCAGAGATGACTAAAGTATACATGTATGTGGAAAGAAAAATAAATATATTACATGTACTTTTTCTGAAAGTTTTTTGGAATTTAACGAAAGAGATGAGCAATAATTTGATGATCAGTTTGAAGCCAAGACGTGGACTCAATACTCATGGAGTATGTTTCTGCTAGGTGGCAGCAGCTCAACCAGTGAAATTTCGTCGTCGTTGATGGTGTCTGAACTTGAAGATGAGGGGAAGTCAAGCAGGTTCAACATTTCAGGGACACCAGCCACAGGGGTAAGTGTGAAACTAACGAGGAGAAGCTAGGAGGAACTTATGAGGAGAAGCTTGGAGTGTGTGGAATCCTGACCTTCTCTGTTGGTTGTTGGCCAGTGATAATTATGCATGCCAGAGTTTTTATCTTGGAGACGCATAGCTAATGTATTTGAACCTGAATCTAGCTTGAAATCAGTAGATACAGGTGGACAGATTGATGTCCTAGGATGTGAATTATACTTGTAAAAATAGTAGGGATATCCTGATGTAAATACAAGGGATATCCCAGTGTCAATATTAGGGATATCCTGATGACAATACTTGGGAGACAATACTTGATATCCTGATGATACTTGATCCTGATGACCATGGGGATATCCTGATGACAATACTTGGGATATCCTGATGACAATACTTCCTGATGATATCCCAGGGGATATCCTTGATGATAATACCAGGGATATCATGACCATACTTGGGATATCCTGATGACAATACTTGGGATATCCTGATGACAATACTTGGGGTATCCTGATGATAATACCGGGGATATCCTGATGATATTACTGGGGATATTCTGATGACAATACCAGGGATATCCTGATGATAATACCGGGGATATCATGATGACAATACTCAGGATATCATGATGACAATACTGGGGATATTCTGATGACAATACCGGGGTATATCCTGATGACAATACCGGGGGATATCCTGATGACAATACTGGGGATATCATGATGACAATACTGGGGATATCCTGATGACAATACCGGGGTATATCCTGATGACAATACCGGGGGATATTCTTCGTGATGACAATACTGGGGATATCCTGATGACAATACCAGGGATATCCTGATGACAATACCGGGGGATATTCATCCTGATGACAATATGGGGATGTCCTGATGACAATACTGGGGATATCCTGACGATAATACTGGGGATATCCTGATGGCAATACTGGGGATATCCTGATGACAAGACTAGGGATATCCTGGTGACAAGACTAGGGATATCCTGATGACAATACTAGGGATATCCTAATGACAATACTAGGGATATCCTGATGGAAAGACTAGGGATATCCTGATGACAATACTGGGGATATCCTGATGGAAACACTAGGGATATCTTGATGGAAAGACTAGGGATATGCTGGTGACAAGACTAGGGATATCCTGATGGAAAGACTAGGGATATCTTGATGGAAGACTAGGGATATGCTGGTGACAAGACTACAGATATCCCAAGGGCAGTACTAGACATATCCTGGTAATGATAGCAGAGATATACATATTACAATAGAAGCAATATCTCTTTCAACCTACAAGGGATACCCTTCTAAAAATATAATAAAAGGGTCCCCTCATATACAATATTGGAGATATACCCTGAAATGTACTGAAGCAATTTGTATAAAGAAAAAAAATTTATATAGTATTTCATTTACATGTTACAAATGTTCACATGGATACTTAACCTTCATAGGAGATGGTTGCTCCCAATAAACGTAACCAGAACCAGTTTGAGTCCGTGCCCCCGCTGGACTGGACATCGGAGCATGTGTGTCGCTGGCTCATCCTGCTGGAACTGGACAAGTACAATGATGCCTTCCAGGACAGGAACATCTCGGGACCACAGCTGCTGCAGATGGATGGTTCTAAACTCAAGGTTGGTGGTACCAAGGATTCCGGGTTGGAATGGCTCCTCAGTGACCTATGGTGGTCATAAGAACTAGAAGCTGACTGCTTGTTGCGGGTTTTTGTGAATCGTTGCTCAATGTATCAAGTACTGTTTGGGCTGAAGTGATCATCTTTTTCCTGTTTTAGCTATGTTTGTTTGCTGTTAAATTCAGCAATATTGCAGCTATATGGCGGTGGTCTGTAAATTATCAGGACTGGACCAGACAATTCAGTGATCAACATCATGAGCATTGATCTGTGCAAATGGGATATAATGATATGTGTCAACGAAGTCAGTGAGCCTGACTACCGAATCCCGTAAGTCACCTCTTATGACAAGCATGGGTTGCTGAAGTCCAGTTCTAACCCAGATCTTCACAGGTAGTGATGAGTATATAAGTAATGTAACCGTAATGGATAGATGATGATGATGATTAAAACAGAACTCTTCCCTATATCGGTACTCTGTTTGTTTCAGAGTCTTGGGGTTACCAATGGCAAAGATCGTGAACTACTCAAGAAGAAGATCAAGGAGCTTAAAGCTGCCATTGAGAAAGAGAAGAAACAGCAGGAGAAGGAGAGGAAGGCACGAGAGAAGGAACAGAAGAAACAGATGAAGAAGAAGTGAACACTTCAAGGCAGCTGTGATTGGCTGAAAAGTGAAATTGACACATTTGATTGGCCAATAAAGTGAAAAGAACCATTCCTCCTGTTTTTCGGAGAATTATGAGGAATGTTGTGGAACCTGGTCACCTGACTGAAATGGTGGACACAGATGATCGGTCTAGAGGAGAACCTGCAGCTAGGACTGACTAAAGTGTGTCACAAATGTGATTATCAGTACAGTGATAGTTCCCATGTACAGTTGTGTATGTACACACCAGCATGCCTGTAAACCGGTCGTATAGTACCGGACATATGGGATGTGATAAAACCCTTGATGGGTTATTTTAGTGATCCACCCATGACAATGACTCTGGAGAGAATGCTCCAGCTAGCCCTCAGCAACAAATACCCTGAAGTGTGTACAGATTGAGAGCTGCATTGCAGATAGGTCAAACCGATCGCAGGATTGTATTTTTCCTGCGGCGAACTTGTATCATGATCATGCTGTGGTACGTTTGTCAACACATCTCGACGAATTTTACCCATGCAATATACCAATGTATTATAGAATCTGTATAAAAAGCAAATTGTATGAACATGTAAAACAAAGTGATTGTGTAACATTAGATCATGAAACCACATCATTGATTGATTTCTAGATAATCCATTCATCTCATAGGGGGAGCGCTGTTGTCATTATTTTTCACATATATCGGTGTAATACACAGCTAACGTCAATGTCAAGGTGAAGGCCGATCCACTCAGTTGCCAAACAATCATACACAGTGTCAGGATTTTCAGGGATGTACTATTTCTGGTCACATGACTGAATTTACAAGTTGATGAAACTGCTAATAATTGAGATCCGCATTTACAAGTGAAATCAATTGTACGCAATCCTGTTTGAAAGATGATTGATTGATTGACCAGTCTGTGGTGCAACGTTTTACTGTTCATAGTCGCGTCAATTCCAGCCTTCTTCCCACGCCATGGAGACCTGCTGTGAAATAAATGAAATACTGTTTTTAATTCGGCACAAGGCCTCAATCAGTGTTAGAAGTACAGAAAGGACCCAAGCCTGTATGCTAATAGGAAAATATCTTCTTGATCCTGACGAAATGGATACTTCGATCATGAATATAGTTTCAATTTACCATGGGATATGAAAATACTTGGAGGAAATCAGTGTAATGTTAACCAGATATCCTTTCTACCTGATGTGTTGCTTGAGTGAAGTACCTTGAGAAGTATTCATATGTTACAATTCAGTATACTCAGTCTGTCTGTAAGATAATCAGATCTATATAACTTATCTTCGTATTTTCTGTGTCAGGGTCACTTTATCCAGGATCCGGTGTAATCATGTTTTCAAATATATTTCATTCACTTTGTAACCTTTAACTTCTTATTAACCTTGACCTGTATTAATATCCTTGACCCTATGTGGTGTAACCTTGACCCTAGGTGATATAACCTTGACTGAGGTATGAAACTGTTTGTCTCAACTTGTGACCATTAGTGACAGCCCGGTCTCAGAATGTACAGTCATATTGAAAACATATTCATGTGGTTTTTTTTCGTGTGACAAGAACGTTCATGATAAAACATACCAAGGCAGGTTTTTGAGGTTATCTTTACATCAAATATATATGTATATCTTACAACCTTGAAGGTATAAGTTCTCATGCCATGTGAACGTTTTAGAAGTGATGACTTACGAAAATGCTCAAACTTGAACAATGCATAAAGATATTCATTTAGACCAGAACTTGATAAGTGAGTGCTATGAAACGGTTAATAGTGTTGAGTTTTGGACAAGGGAGATAATCAATTGTGATGTAGATAACAATATGCTCAATAAATTAGACATTTTCAAGAGAGTGATTTGCTCACAACTTCACGTTGTCTCGATTGCGATGTTCAATTATGTGTGTCACACCAGGGGAGACAACTTAGTGAAATATGTATCTGTAAGAAGTTTTATCCAGTCGTTGTTTTCAAATACTATTGACACAGATAAAAGTGAATTTAAGATTGTGTTATCCACTGTTTTTTACTTCCCCACACGTAAATAATCTGTTCATGCCCAATGATGCAATTCGGTACACTTACATATGAAACTGCACAAAGCTTGGTGTGTTATTTCAAATTTTAAAAGATCACCAAACTACAGATTAAATCTTTTATCTTCAACACTAGAAGGGGAGGTGGGGTAGCCTAGTGGTTAAAGCGTTGTCTCGTCACGCCGAAGAGCCGGGTTCGAATCCCCACATGGGCAAAATGTGTGAAGCCCATTTCTGGTGTCCCCCGCCATGATGTTGCTGGAATATTGCTAAAAGCGGCGTAAAAAAAAACTCAGTCAGTCAGTCAGTCAACACCAGAAACAGGCTTTGATTGCACCTTGAGTTATCTCCCTTGGTATGCCACCATATTGTTTGTTGCTTCTGATTGTTGTCTGTGTTGCTTGTTGAAGTCAACTGTTATTATTTACGTGTGTATCCATGTCGGTACTTTATTTCCTGAACGAAATTTTAAACATGATTTGTTCTTATTCTCTAAGTTTTGTTCCATTTATGACAAAAGGGCCCCTAGAGCTTGAGTGACTAAAGGGAGTCAGTCTTGGGTGCAAGTCCCAGAGTGGGTCGTTCATAGATTACCAGTTCCACAAGAGCTGTATGAACCAAAGAAGCTGTAATTGCCTTGTTAAACTAATGCAATCAATTTTCTACCAGACCAAGTGCTAATATTCATGTTGTGAGACGAGAGGCTGCTCTGTCTGTATTCTTCTGTTTAATGGGATTTGTTGGGTCAACTTCACAACTCTTCTTTATATGGCTTTGTGATGACAATGCAGGCACATAGACGTCTTTATATTCAAAATGGCTCATTATGTGTTCAATATACATTAGAGTGCATTATTAGAAAAATTGCGCATTTTCTGAGCAAAATGGTAAGATTTGAACATTTATGACATTGAACCATTATTTTACACATTTTTTCCAGGGTGAACACCATATGATAGACATGATGAATTCATTGAAAACCTAACCTGCTGGTAATGCTCAATTTTTGTTGAGTGAGTGGCAAGGTAAAAATGTACAAGGTATATCATTTCGAGACTTTTTGACTGATTTTTATCTCAATATCACTTCTATTCATTGTGTATCATATTGAAGTTCTATGCCTCGCCACATAGAACTGGATTCATCGTAGTACAAGAGGAAAGCCACTTGCTATCTCTGTGTATGGTCATCGTGACAGTATAATCAAAATTCACTCAGCTAGTTACTTATTTTTGTAGTTCCACTCAGCTATCATCATATGGGAGATGTATTGACTTATATTTAGAAAATGCAATAACAAAACTCGTAGAAATGTACTTATTAGCCCTAGGAACTAAATTCATTCTATAATGATTAGATTATAGATGTTTCAAAATAATTAAATCATAGATGTTTCAAAATGATTAAATTATAGATGTTTCAAAATGATTACATTATAGATGTTTCAAAATGATTACATTATAGATGTTTCAAAATGATTAAATCATGGATGTTTAAAATGATTAAATCATGGATGTTTCAGAATGATTAAATCATGGATGTTTAAAATGAATAAATCATGGATGTTTCAGAATGATTAAATCATGGATGTTTCAGAATGATTAAATCATGGATGTTTCAGAATGATTTAGAATATCCAAGCTTGATTGAATACTGAAATATCTATCAAATGTCCAGTAGAATTGGTCAGGTACTAAAGTCAGTATGAACTGACCAATGGAATCAGACCCTGATTGCCAAATGCCTGTTTATATCAATATGTGTCCTGTTCAAACAAACAGCATTAACATCTATCAGTGAAATATTCTGCACTCACTCAGACCTATCTGGTGCTAACAAATGACTACTGTATTTGTACCAGAGTGTCTGCAATGTTTTGTCCCTCTGTAAAACCAAACCCATATGATGCCTAGATGACTGCCAGCCTTTCGTTGCCAGTAATTAAGCGCCTTATTGATTTGTGCAAAGCACGAAAACCATGTCGTGTAACTATTAGTTTATGCTAAGGCAGTGCCTGCAGGCATTACCCTCTAACCCCGAGGCTCAGGCAGTGCCTGCGTGCGTTACCCTATAACCCCCAGGCTCAGGCAGTGCCTGCAGGCATTACCCTCTAACCATGAGGCTCAGGCAGTGCCTGTGTGTGTTACCCTGGAACCCAGAGGCTCAGGCAGTGCCTGCATGCGTTACCCTCTAACCCAGAGGGGATGCTTAACATTGTGTGACTAATAGAATAGATACACCCAAACTGTGAATACATTATTCGAATTTTAGACTTTAAATATGAAATTGTCAAGATAACAAATTATTTCACACATGCCAATGCTAATAATGCTGGCCTCACCTTTTTTGCTAACGTACAACTGTAAAAAAAACTTTCATATTTTTATATCCACTGAGCAACTTTTTCTAGTGTAGATGTTGCAGTCCTGCTGATGGTAATCCAGGGGCTTGTTTCATAGAACATTCGTTGCAATACGATTATCGGAACTCCTATATAATTAAGCATGGACCTACGATAGTCATAGAGCTACAGTTACCTTGTGAAACGGGCCCGTAACCATGGGAACACATTCTGGCACAATCCCAGCAGGCTTTGAACATTCTGTTCGAATGACTGGTGTGTGTTCGATGATTGAGACTCTCAGACATATCATAATTGCACTTACGTATAGCAGATCATGTAAGAAAGTTTACAAGGATAGAAACTTCAAAACACCTGGATGTCGTCCTGCATTGTGACATCTCGTTATCCAAAAATGTGTCTTAAATTCTCATACTTCCGAACTTAATCTCACCATCATTTCTTAGAAATACAAATTTGACGGAGACAAATTTGTAAGTTTTTATCCATGTAAACAGTCTGTAAATTCAGGTGTAAACACTTGTATGTAGACAACTCTTATATTGCCGATCTTCATTTCGGTCTGGGAGCCGTATATTAAAGTATGTATGATGTGAATTGGTGTTTGTTATTTTGTTCAACTGGTTGTAATTACCTGGTGTAAAGGATAAAGCAGGAGTGTTAAGAGAGGAAGGTCAATGGTCAAACTGAACATACATATATTTTAGATGTTATGTTAAAATTTATTATTTTTTCTTCTTGTTTGACACCATTGTGCCAGTTACATGACGGCGGTCTGTAATCAATTCTGGACCAGACAATCCAGTGACTGACGTCTTGAGCACCGATCTGCACAACTGGGATAGGATGACATGCATCAACCAAGTCTGACCTTCCATTAATCGCCTGTTACAAGATGCTTGGGTTGCTGAAGACAGTTTTAACCTGATTTTAACAGTCTCTGCATTTGCACAAGTAGACAATTAGTTAAGAAGGGATTCAGTTTCGAACATAAACACAATTTTTCACAATAAAAGGCCGCAGTTGGTACAGCAATAGTAGGTCAAAAGTGTATATGGGATCTGGCACACTGTTGCCTTGGATTCTTGCAGAGTGAATCAAAATTTAATGTCACCTCGGCAATATTTCAGCCACATAGTGACGAGGATTCTTGCAGAAGTGAGTGAGGTGAGGTGAGGTGAAATTGGATTTAACGTCGTGCTTGAGAATATTTCGCTCATATGATAACGTGCATGCGTGTGTGTGTATGTGCGGCTGCTTGTACTAGCCCAGACTGAAGCTGTTTTTATAGTGCTAGCCCACTGAGATACCATGCCGCAGTGAAGCATGGATACCCCACTCAGACACATTATACTGATTCCGAGCCGACCAGTCCTTGTTGTACCCATTAATGCCGAGCGCCAGGCAGGGACCAACAAGTACCATATTTTAACGTCTTTTGGTATGACGCGGTCGGGGATCGAGCCCACGACCTTCCGCTCTCCGGGCGGACGCTCTAACCACTACACCACGGAGGCGGTCGCAGAAGTGAGTATAGTCCAATAGCAGGACTTCAGTGGGAAGCAATAAAGTTGTATTTGCTGAGAGTCCCGGATTCTTTTGATGTGGCCATCTAGTTTTGCCCACTTGAAGCAATATTCCAGAATCTCATGACAGAGGGACACAATAACTATGTTGGGAACTGACCCAGCTGTCAGCCAAACAAACTAACGCTTTAGCTAGAAGGCTACCCCACCGTCCAAGTTTCAAATGAATCCAGTGCGTCCATAAATGTTTCCATTGTCATGTCTCACATGTTCTCTAACATATGTATATGCACATAATATTCTCGTAATGGTGTCTCGTCGTTGATGGAACATACTTACCGGGTACTCTGGTCTCTGTTCTCGCGGGTAACTATTCATGAGAGATATGATTTTGACACTGATTTTGAGGTCAAGTTTGGGGGTCATCCATAGGGTCGGCTTATAGACGGTCATATACGGTACGTGAAATACTGAGAAAGCAAAAATAGAGACCAAAAAGTCAATGCATTATTTACTCTGTCATGTTACAGAAATACAGATCTTTGCAACAAGTCATTAAAATGTACATCTTTAATTACACAACCTTAGTAATAACACCAAATACTGTGTGCCCTCGTATATATATGAACATACTCAACACTTCACTACGACAACATGTCACAGGGTAAATGTGTCTGACTCTATAGCTATGATCAGAAAAAATGTGATATTGAAGAAACACCACCACATACTTGTAACAATAATAGATATGAAGACAAAATTCTTATTTATGATCAGCTGAAACATCATATGTCCATGAGCTGTGGTCGCGGGTTAGATCCCCGACCGCGTCATACCAAAAGACGTTAAAATATGGTACTTGTTGGTCCCTGCCTAGCGCTCGGCATTGATGGGTACAACAAGGACTGGTCGGCTCAGAGTCAGTATAATGTGTCTGAGTGGGGTATTCATGCTTCACTGCGGCATGGTATCTCAGTGGGCTAGCACTATAAAACCAGCTTAAGTCTGGGCTAGTACAAGCAGCCACACATACACATACACACGCATGCACGTCGTCATATGAGCGAAATATTCTCAAGCACGACGTTAAACCCAATTTCACCTCACCTCACCATGAGCTGTGTCTCTTTAAGAGTGTAAACCACAAATGTACTTCCCACTGATAGCATGAACTATACATCATCTTGACAAAGGCTGTGAACTAACCAGAACCATTCCAAGAATACAGACACAAATTGCCTACGGATAAATATTATGTGATATTACCCAGCAAAGGTTTAAATAACAGTCTCCTGGGCACCCAGTGCACCTGATAACAGCATGTTGACAATGTGATACAAAGTAGAGACATTGATAAAATCAAACTCTCACCTAAGTATCAGAGTCATTTATGTTTCATAGCAATACCCCTGCCTGGCGCTCGGCATTAATGGGTACAACAAGGACTGGTCGGCTTGGAGTCAGTATAATGTGTCTGAGTGGGGTATTCATGCTTCACTGCGGCATGGTATCTCAGTGGGCTAGCACTATAAAACCAGCTTCAGTCTGGGCTAGTACAAGCAGCTGCACCTACACACACACACACACATGCATGCACATCGTCATATGAGCGAAATATTCTCCAGCGTGACGTTAAACCAAATTTCACCTCACCTCATAGCAATACCCTCTAACCGATAGGCTTAAGGCAGTGTCTGTGAGCATTACCCTCTAACCCGTGGCACAGTGCCAAAGTAAATATTGATAAATCATAAATACAATCACCTCGTATCTGTTGATACATTTTGTAATATTCTCGAACCAAAAGGTTCAGGCAGTGCCCGTGTGCATTACCCTCTAATCCAGAGGTTCAGTGCCAAATTAGAGGTAATATTGATTAATACACACCCCCGCCTATGTATTTATTGCTACAAAACATATAATCACAAGTCAACATCAGAGGTTTTCAAAGGAGGGTTTCAAATTTAAAC